GAATGCTGAAAACTGCACCATACTGTGATCCCAAAACCAAGGTTCATACCAAACCATTTATTTTGTATACCGCTACTTCCTTACAATCAATAATTAACATTTTACATGGAATTAAAAAGAACGTACAATTACATTAATTCATGATATGACTATATACCAAATCAAACAAGTCTTCAAATAACGTGATCTCATTGCATCGGACCTTCTTAGCTTTCAATAACTACCCGCGCTGAGCCGTACCCATCCCCCAGAGGACTGTGGACACATATGTGTAGCTCGCTGGTAAAGATTTAAGAGCCTTAGTGGATCATGGGAGTATTACAGCAAAACCACACATCCACACAGTCAATGACACTTCATCAGGATGGGTCAATACAACCCTAGTGCACACAAGAGCGCTGAATTTGATCTTGCTCAGGTAGGCCAGTGTTATTGTCCGTCTATAATAGAGCTTCAGACTACACCTATTGTTAGTCAGCAGACCCGCTGACTGCATTATCACTGGTCAGGAAAACACGAAATCTCTTTCACACAAACACATGCTAAAAAGCGTATTGGCTGAATCACATCATGTCACACCAGTCACACTTTTGTCTGACCATCCATTTAACCTTCGTAACACTAGCTGCTTGTTGCAAAGACTTTAATGGGCATTTAGAAACCGCAATTACAGCTATTCTATTCACAAACTCACAATTTACAACCTTAGGTCACAGCGGCAGCACAGCTTTTAAAAATGTTATTCCACTTTATTGTGCTGGTTTATCATTCCGCTTTGGTTTAACAGATTTATTTAGGGACATACACTATTATTGCAAAAAAATTGCAATTAAAAAATTGTCAAATAAAATCTAACTCCTTTCAAATTACAGTGGTGACAGAAACTGACAGAACAGTTAGTCTTGTAATCAAATGAAGAAATCATCAATTGGATGACTTTTTATTAATTTTAAAGCTGCTTAAACAATGCAGAGGACACAGAAGTTTGGATGCTTTCAGGTGTCCTTGAGCAACATTCCTCTCTTTTACAGGTAAACACTAGTTGCAGACATTACAATAAAACTACAAATGCTTCTGATAATTATTGTCTCAGCAGGACTGGAAATTAGCACAAGCCACTAGCCATATGCTGATAAAATATGTAATGGTAATCTGTTGAGTGGCTGGAAGATTTTGGAAGCCACCAGCAACAGTGTCAGGTGAACAAAAAATTTATTTCCAACCCTGAACCCTGGCCTAATTACTCATACCCATTATAAGATGTGTAACAGTACTGGGCCAGAGGATACACACAAAACGTACTTATATTCCCTGGACCTCAAAGGGATCTGAGGTGCTGCAGCTGTTTTTTTTTTCTTGTGGTCTTTGATTGTTATATCTGAGGTGAGTGCCTGATAAATTGCTGATATGTTTATGGTCTAATTCCCCTGGTGAATAATGGTAGCCCCACACGCCCAGACATGCCTTGACATACAATGCAGATAGGGCAGGTCGTACAGTAGCTTTCATACAAAAACAATAATACTGCCAACTAACTTCTCGTTAAAGCCAACGAATATTTTGTGGTGTCAAAAACTGAGCTTAGGACACGTTGTGAGCTGAGGATGTTCGTGCTGATAAATGTTGGCTGTCAATTAGGCAGAGGTCCATTTCATTCTCCTGGACAGGCCGAGCAGTCGGCCGGTTGGTCTGTATCTACAGTAGCTATGCTAGCTAACTGCTAGTTAACGTTTCTGCTAACGTTAGCTAGCGCTATAGCTAATAATTTGACACTAGCTATGAAACAAACCAGGATTCATCGATGACTAACGATATTTAGGATGGTTACTAGAGGATGACATGCAATGCCCCATCAGAACAAGGGACTGTCAACGTTATCTACATATGAAAATGTTATTTAACTGTGAGTGCAATTAAATAATTGCCATAATATGTTGCAATAGCTAGCCCTTTAGCTAACGTTAACCTGGCTGTCGTCTTGATAACGAACTGCCGTTGGATAACGTTATGCTAACATTAGCAGGTACTGACTTTCGAATAGAAACACACTAATTATATTATTGATTAAATAAGACCACAGCTGTGACTGTTTTGTGCATGTCATGTCGACATAGTCTAATATATTGCAGTGGTTAATTTGTTGAAATGTCTTCAATAGTCTGCCTCTGACATGGCTTGTATCAGCTAACCCTGGCTAGCCCAGTGCTAGTTAGCATGCTAACACAACTGACTAGCATTGGCTAGCTAACATGGATCAGCACCGGTTTCCGCCTACCTGTTGTTGGTCTTTGGGCTCTCCTGCCTTCCTTTTCCTGCTAACTGTTTTTCTCGCCATAATCTGATACACACAGCTCCCTCACCCACATGGAGGGTAAAAGTGACGCTGGACACTGGATCATATAATGGCGATATGCTATTTTGTTCCTTGGCCCTCGCTGGAAGCGTCCGACGACGAAGAAGGGCGATCACATACGGGAGAGGTTGGTTAGTCGCTGGTTGAGATTGCCGCCGACTTGCTGTCACTAGCTTGCCTTCTGGGCTCCTAAACGATACTACAATCTGACCGTATTCCCTTTTCAGCTTCGACAACGTCGCTAGCTGCTGCCAGAGGGTTCACGTTCTCTTTTTTTTCCTGCCAAGTCGCGTCAGCAACGGCGAAAGCACTGGGCAGCGCGCAGCCGCACTCAAATTAAACATCAACAAAAACAAGGTCGTTCGTGAACGCGAGCGTCATGCGTGCTCGTTCACGTCGACTGCGTGAGCTCATTGATCAGATGATTCTGGTTAGTCTCCGTTTTAAGGACATAATATTTTGTTTCAGTAGCAAAATGGATCGTCAAATTGAACAACTGAACATATATTAATAAGCAAGTTAATATGTACAAATATAAACTGAATAATTGCCTTTTATTTATTTGATAGAATTTCAGGTAATATATAAATATCCAAATTAAATCATAAGTTATCAAAGGTTTGTGCTCTGTTAAAATGCAGTTTTATTAAATGAATGTCAGATTAACAGAAATAATTTAAATGATTTATGTATAATTTTATTGCGCTAAACTCTGTTGTTTATGACACATTCCCTCTTATGTCCCTCTCTTGCAAGGAGCACCTGTAACATAAATAATTTCCCCTCTGGGATCAATAAAGTATTTCTGATTCTGATTCTGATTGTTTATAATTGTTACTGTGAACATTTAGTTACCTGGCTATTCTCAGATTAAAGGAAAGACATCATGAGTCTTAATATTAGAAACTCTCCACAGAGCTAGCTTACTGGATTTTTCTGAATGTATTCATTATTTGCATGGGCACAAAGACATGGTTGACATGGAAATCTGAAATCATACAGATACACTTTTACATGCCTTTAATAATCCTCTGCTTATTAACCCTGGTGAGCTCAGCCAGACTGAATATTGTCTCTATTCTGATACATAATTGTCTTTTTTTCTGCTGACTATGCCATGGTTAGATGTTTCCAGTTGCCACTGACAATACCTGGATAGACATCCACCTGTATTGTTGCTGCAAACTGAACAGAGAGAGAAAAAATGCATTTGCTGTAAAAGAGAGAAAACATGGAGCAGAAAAGCTGTCCCTCCACACCAGCTTAGGTCAACACATCTAGTATGTTATGACGATACTTGAGAAAATAACCACGATCACATTAAGCTCAAAAAGTAACAACAGCAACGATCAACAGTCTCACCACTGAAAAGATGTGCACATTTAATCATGTGGATTTTCCAAATCCTTCAAGAGGAAATTGAACATTTTGCAAATCACATTTCAGGAGCTTGGGAAAGGACACTCAACTCGGCCACCTCTTATTATACCATAAAGATATTTCAATGTTCATTAGATTCATTAGCGCCCCATGTTCAATTATGCAGTGGCTTAGAGGTGGATCTGATATATAAACCCCTTAAATATGATGCCCTAAATAATGAGAACCTATATTAATCCTTACACAAGGAGACTGTAACAGAAATGGGAGGAGGCATTGATGGAGGAGGTCCAGAGGCTGTAGAGGCAAGTGAGCATCCACTTGCTTTATGTATGACTAAGGAAACCACACTTGAGTTATGTAAGGCGACAATAATACCACTTATGTGTCTGTCTGTAAAGTAAATTTTTTTTTTTTTCTTTATCACAGTAAATCAAAACGGAAGGCAACTAAGAACAGAAGTGGTGGAAAACAGATTTGTTGATCTTAATGTCAACCACATATCAGACAAAATGCTGGCTTGAATAAGGATACTAGATCTAACCTCACACCTTGCTCGTGTCATGTTTGCCTGCACCAGGTGAAACCAAAAGAATAGGAGGACATATGTATGATGATATATCATGTCACTTACTGGGATGTTTGTTGTTTTCAGGATGCTTGCAAATGTGTTGCAAGCATCCCAGAAGGAGGTTTGGACATGGTACTGAATATTCTGCAGACAATTTGTTGCATTTTTCTCCTATTACACAAGTCAAATTTTGTATGTATTGGAAAAAAATCACTATAGATTCATCAAACCAGGGGTTGTTCTAAAATAGATTGGTGGTTAGTTAAATTTTCATTTTGCAATTGTGAAACACAGGACAAAGTACTGGACCTGCTCCAAGCAAAGTGCCAGTTCTCCAAATCACATTTTGCTAACTTTAAGCCCTTAATCTGTTACCATGCCTCTTAAAATCCCCATCAGTACCACAGAGCTCAAGATTATGAAAATTTCTGCCATCTTTGCCTTTGCTGCAGCTGAGCAGACATGTTTTTTAAACATATGTAGCATGGAACTGAGACACAAACTGTAAAATAAAGAATCCTGAATCTCTTCTGAACAATTACACCCAATCAACATATGGGAGAATGCATTTGACATGTGGTGACTTAAACTTTTTTTTTTACTTTAGCTATTTAGGACTGTGGAGATGGCAACCCATCTAAAATCAAGATGAACAGTCGTTTCATATTCCACATGAGAAAAAAAAAAGTAGACAAGTCAAGAAACCAAAGTCATGTTTGAATAGATTTTGTGGCATGAAATTGAATAACAGAGAATAAGTGATGGAGATCACTGAAATCAAACCTTTCCTAGTTACATCCAAATTTCTAGCAAGGCTTGAAAATCATTTCTCATCTCCCGACAATTACTTGAGGCTCAAAGTGCCAGTCAACAGTCACACAATATGAAATGTCTCTATTGCACTGTGATGTGGCTGCTAAAGCAACCCTCACTTACATCATTTCTTTTTTTTTCTTTTAAACCACTCACTCTTTTCCAGTCTGCAAACAGAAGTCCATGACAGTTAAAAGCGTCACTTTTGTGAGTTAACATATCTTACATTATCATATCAAACTCTTTATTTGTAAATGAAATAATCAGTGTACTATTTTAAATAAGTTGATAATTATGAGTGTGTGCGCCTGTGTAGTATGTGACACGTCTGTGCCAGTGAGCTGTGGGAGATTTCTTATCATTTCCTACAGAGGAACCTTCCCCTATTTCTCCCCACTCCTTTAACAGGCCATTCCAGTGCAGGTCGAACAGCGTACTGGGGCAGTAGTATCTCTTATGGTTTGAGTAATGGTGACTAAAGATCTATGTAGTTCCTAAAACAGGAATAAAAGAAATGGAATCTTCAAAGTGACATGAAAAAGTGCCCAAATGAACAGAAAAAAAACAGACATGAATGAATGAAAGAATAACATACAACAGAACTAGGTGCAGGGCACCAGAGCAGAGAGGGCACTTCTTGAGAGTCAGTTGTCTGTCTGACGACTGGGCCGTTTGTTTGTTGTTTTTTTTCCTTTTTGACTTTTAATATTAGTTGGTTCAGTTTAAAGAGAGCCTCCTCGAGGCTCCCGATCCCCGCCACCATTTACTAGGTCTGCACAGAGCAGTGGAAGATGGCAGCGTAGTTGTTTGGGAGCTCCAAGAGTTCAAACTGGTCTTTCTTTGATGAATTCAGAGCCCGTCACCAGCTTCCCATTCGCTCCTGCAGCTTTGCCTGGATAACACTTCCAAGTGGAAGCAAATCAGAATGGCATTAAAACACCACAGCCCAAATTTTCTTCCTTTCCATCTCAGTCAGTCTTCCCACTCTGAAACACCCTCGCAGTACAAAATTCTTGAACGTAACCCGGGGTTTCTTAGAAAAAAAAACACCACCATGAAGTATTGTTACACTTTGACCCCCTCCACTCTAGGCACACAGTCTTTAAGAAGTGCTGAGACACAATACGTTTTAGCACAGAGAGAAATACAACTGTCTCCCAGCTGTCCCTTCCACAGCCAAGGCAAGGGCAGGGCATGGTGTGATAGGGTAGGCAGAAGGAAAGGGGCTGTGTTGGGTAGTAGCGGGAGGCAAGCCCCTGGGCTGGGCTTTGGTTGGCTGGTTAGTGTGGCTCAGCTGGCTGCGGCCCGAGCCATCAGGTCCTCTAGAGCCTTGTCCTGATCATTGTTGTGGACCAGCAGCACCTCTTTGATGGCATCTCGCTGAAATCCCATTTCACCAAATCTTGACATTAGTTCAAGAAACTGCAACGCCTGGGAAGGATGAAATAAACCTATTAAAGATTATATTACCTATCAGTGTAATCAACAGACTTTATCTTAATCATCAAAAGACAGAGTGATGTAGAGGTGTCGCTCATATTTCAAAACCAGTTGATAACGGGTTCCAAATTGTCTGATCCATTGGAATCGTTTGCCTCCAAGCTTACTGATACCTTTTATCGATGCAAGCGTGTTTTCCTGTAAGTTACGCGCTGCAAAACAATGTCAAACTTGTGCACCACAGACAGAAAGAAGCGGTCCAAACATGGCTTAATTTCTCGAAAAAAGATGACAGTGTTGCTTGTTAAAAAAAAAATAAAAAATTATAATTTCAAGTAAGGGTGTAAACAGCAATATGCTGAAACATGACTCGATACGACACGTTTAAATTCCAGGAATGCCATGTATTTGAAACTCTTCACAGAAGTGCCAATACTTCCCAATCATGCAGTGCATTCATTATCAAGGCTAAATATCCCGTTATAATAACATTAGCACCATGCTGTGTCACATGCATGGCTTTTTTCTACTCTGTTTCTACACTGTGTTTAGACTCAGAGATTATAAAAGAGTTGAATTGGTGCCGAAAACCCTTGCAGGCCTATTTTTCCCCCCACAAAAAAAACTGATTACGAGTCACTAAGGGAAATAATAAAGAATCAGACCCAGATGCAGAATCAATAACGGCACGGGTATCAATAAAATCTGATCAATTCCCATTCCTGCTTAGTAACATATAAACACAATGCATGTTCTTAAGGTGGTTTGCTAATGGGAAATTGTACAAACCTTTTCCTCTGAGCATTGGTACATCTCTAAACACTCCTCCACTGCACTTGCATCAAAGCCCCGCTCACACAGACGCCCATGGACAAACAGGTAGTCCAGTACCTGAGACAAACAATAAGTAAGTTTATTATGGGTCTGCTTTGAAAATCACATTAATGAGCCTTAAATTAAGAATTACATAAAAGACAAATGTAAATATAATATTGTGGATTGAAATGAATGAATGTTAATGGTCTCTGGGGTTCATTCATTGTTCTCTTTATGCTATATGTGCAATGAATCTTCAAGTTTGTGATGCCCAGTGCTAATTAATGTAAAACCAGTTGGTATTAAATATGACATACCAACTCCATAGAACCTATTTTACTTTTGTTTTATCCCACATCTGCTACTATAGCCACCATAGTCATGTGAACATAGTTGGATAAGTCATATTGTTCAGTACTAGCTGTACAGATCACAAAAACTGATCTATTGCCATAATGTTTAAGACAACAGGAAAAGTGCTGAAACAACTTTATTGTAATTTAAGGCTATGTTTACAGATGTACTGCATTGATGCTTTACTGGACACAATTACAAAAGCACACAAACAATGAACTGTAAGGCATGTCAGACAGTGAATATGCTAGGAATCCAGATTTCTGCGCACTGGGGTGAAAGGGAGTCGCACCTGCTCCACGTTCTGTCCTTGTCTCTGCATGGCCCGTAGGACACCCTCGTATGAGTAACCCATGCCCACAAGGGTTTCCACACACTGACGCTCACTGGGAGTCATGCTGAGCAGGGCGCCCCCACATGGCAGACCAGAAGTTCCCGACCCTGGGTTGACCTAGAGTGAAAACAAATGACTGAATGTCAATAAGGTTCTTGAGCATCCTTATAGTTTTTATCACTGGATAATCTACATCATTACATCCCACACAAACTATGCACACTATTAGTAAGATATGGATGTATTCTCTTGCTAACCGGTTTTGGTGCACCACTCTTGGTGTGGCTGGTTGGCTCAGGAGCAACAATAACTTGGGTCTTGGGGATGGTCGGTGGGCTGCCGTTGGGTAGGTTCTGTCGGGGAGCGGGGACAGCTGTAGGGACTGGGCTGTACCTTACTGGCTCTGGATCACCAGAGTCAGAGAGCTTGGGAAAAGTGAGAGAGCGGATGTTACAGGGTCGATCATCTGCGTCAAACCCTGTTCTCCCAGGCTGCCCAACTCTGTCCATGTCCAGCAAGGCAACCAACCCATTGGGTTTATGAGTAAAGCCAGGTTTAGCTGTGATGCTGGTGTTGGTGCTGGGAGGAGATGGGCTGTTCCCACGTGACCCTATCTGGGAAACCTCTGGTGGGGATACAGAGGGAGGAGGTTGAGGTTGTGGCTGGCTCTGGAGGATGCTCCTAAGCTCCTCCTTATCGTCCAAAGTTTTGAGCTCCAGCTTGTCAAAGGGGTCCTCTTCCCGCTCAAAGTCAGCTAGGTTGAGGCTGTGCGGCTGGGGAGTGCTAGGCTGGGTTTTCCTTGGCCCAAGGCTTGGGGCAGGCAGTGGAGTGAGGATGGCATTATGGCTCAGCCCCGCCAGGACGGGGTTCAGCGCAGGTGGTAGAAGGTCCTGGTCCTCTGCAGCAGACCCAGGTTTCTTTCCTCGACCACCATCAATGTCTTGGGCCTGTGCCAAGCACTCCCTGCTCTCTGCCTCCTGCTTGGCCGCTGCCTCTTCTGCTCTCGCTTCTGCTGCTCTCGCCTCAGCCAGTTCAACTCCCCATCGCACACTACGCCTCTCCAGAGAAAAGTCATACTGTTGAGGCCACAGACAGAGGAAGGATGGGGGTGATGGGCAAAGAGGGCACATAGAGTGACAGAGAAAACAAGAATAATTGTGAGAATATAAGTCATTTAAACTCCAGTTTTACAGATTAGACATCTATACAGCTTGTACAACATAATCTGAATAAACTCAAAATTTGAGGTTTCTGTAATTTGTTAAGAATAGAAGGTACTCCGACTTTTTGAGCAGGTATTGCTCATTGTCTACAAACAACTGAAATAACTCCTAGGAACAAACTGTACTCTATTGACAGCATGTCCTTGACTATACCTCTCCATAAAATTGTTCATTCTCTCTGACTTCTAGCATGACAACAAGACCAAATGCATAATGTTGATACCGCAGAACAGAGAGCAGGGCCTATAATGATCAGTGCCGTATTATTGCAGGTCAGCAAAGCACGGTTAAGCCCTGCTGTGAGGATACTGCGGAGATGCACATAAATGCAGCATATGAGAAAATACCAGTGCAAAAATCAACAAATTTCCTGTGCCTGACTAACCTGTGAGTCCACTAGCAAAGAGCCGCAGTCTGGGAGACAGAAACCAACAGGCAGCCCCACTTTGGCTGGGCAGCGGAATTTGTCATTGATCTTGAAGGGAACGTCATCAAGGTAGCTGATGGGTCCTGTGTACGACAAAAAAAATCAAAGAGGAATACACACTGGAACTACAGGCACCAACAGACCTTGGACACACATGTCACTCACAACTCAAAACATCAGAGGGTCAAACAGAGAAACAAAAGTATTAAAAACAGGTCCTCACCATTGTTGTATGCATCTGATCCAGACTTCCTCGCAGCCATTTAGAGACCCTGAAAACAGTATGGTAGGTGTAAATTTAGTGAGCTGTAGGAATGCCATGTTGTTTCAAATGTCAAAGAGAGTTAATATTTACATGGCACATGTTGATGTATCTTCAAAAACACACTGGCACAGTAGTTTAGTATGTCTTTCACTGAGCTCAGAAAAAAGTCCAACAGAACAGCTTCAATAAAAACATAAAAGCAATGACACTTTAGCACAAGATAATGCTAATTATTGTTATAAAACTTTTCACTACCCCATTGACTTTCTACATTCTGCTGCTGTGCATCTCAAGTCACATAATCCCGTTATATGGTCATGCCATGCTACAAGGGCTGACATTATCAACACAGAGACGCTACTGTTTTCACATCCGCTGATCACAGAACTTTGTCTCTGTGTGTGCTGGTTTAGAGCAATGTTCAGCAGAAAAAGTGAGTGATTTGAACCACTAATGCAGCGGAAAGGGCTTATTTGTTAGTTAAAAAGTACTTAAAGCTCCAATATGCTAAATTTTTAAGAAACACTGAATCAAATGGTTTACTGATATATAATCATTTTGCCAGTGCTGTCTACACTGCTGAAAATCAACACCCAGCTCCACAGCTTTTTGCTTTTGTGTGCTAGCTCATTTGATTAAATCCCAATCTCACCAATCCCTTCCTATATGAGACTACAGCCAGTCATTTCCAGAAAATCTAACTCACACAAGCCAACTGTAGCCTGCATTATCAATCTAGCACCCAAAAACATATTGCAGCAAAGAAAACGAATAGCCAGGAAAAGAAATTTAAACATCTAGCAAGCCGAAGAGAGACAGATCATTTTCACATGATGACTGGATTGCTCTGAGTCCTAGGTGGGCACCAAGTTATGTACACAATTAACTATAAGCAACTGATAATCAAATATTATAAACCTAGTTGCTCCCCAGTTTTCAGAAATTACTTTACACATTCTTTATCTATGCGTTGAGCCACTGAAACATTAATAACTTATGTTTAAAGAAGAACAGTTCCACTAATTACCAGTAAAACGTGCTATGTATCAGTAAAGGGTTCACCAGAGTAAGACCAATGATGGGTGTCTAAGGAGCCTCAAATATGTCTATGGGATTGATTATTGCCTGGTTGAAGTGGATCCCCAGCATGAACAGGTTTGCAATCACAGTATTAGACATCCCTGCTAGGAATACTGCTTCATTAAGTGCCTTCTGCTGAAAATATAAAATGATCAGCAATACACAGTAGCCTGTAATACACTGCAATCTGCTGAACATCACCAACACTGGTCAGAGAAGGCCCCGGGATCACTAAGAGAGTAACCAGCAGCACTAATCTAGAATTATAAACACACATACTGTGTAAAATTGCAACCTACAGGCAGGTTAATTTCACTACACTTACCTGGGAGTTGTACACAATCCATTAGCCCCATTTTTAGTTTTAGTCATCATACATGACACTACACTATTATAGCTCTGTGGCTAATCATGATTGACCATGGAAATGTTCCACACATAATCAAGAGGTATCTCGTGAACAGGAGGTACATCTCGAGCAGATCTGTTTTAATTTTACAACTACTGTATAGTTGTTATTTATTGTAATTAAGCATAATGTTATATAACACCCCTCCACCACAAGTTGCTGTTCCACGAAGCTAACAACTTAAATTGTACTCACGGTTTGAGTACAGCTGAGTCAAGTTAGAGGAAATATTTCATTTGACGGTTACAACCACAACAACGCTGGACAACTCACCAGGGTAGTTGATCAGCTGACTATTTTGAAAGGAGCTGAACTGCTTCTGGGTTGAATCGATAACGAAAGAGTCGCAGTAACTATCACATTTCAGGCAAGTTAATGCTAAATAGCAAATGTCAAGGCTCCCAGCTGTCACGTATTGCTCCCAATATTACCGGCAGACACATTAAAGTCATGGATGTCTCACCCATGACTGAAGTGCAATGTCGTATATTCATTAGCCCGTGTTAGTTAGCTAAGTTATGACAGAGTTAATTAGCTACAAGCTAAGCTATTCTTATCTTTGGATACTCCTAGCTCAACGGGCTAACAGCTAACATTCAGTGACAGTTTAGCCAAGAAGTCGACGTCGGGTTTGACATTAGTTGGTATTGGCGGAATATTAAGGTTGTATTAATGTATTCACTGACAGCCACCACCAGCTGCTGGATAATGTTTTGGGGGAAAAGCCACCGTTCATGCTAATACGCTTAGCTTCGCCAGTGGCCTGGCTGTAATGTTATGTGGCTGGATAAGACAGACCGCTGCCTCTGCTGCCACCGCCCCTGAAACAAAACTGAGCTCACACACAAACACACACTCCTCTCACCTGTGTCTGCTCCGTCTCGTTCTTTCAAAATCCAAACGACGTCGTGTCGAGGCGGCACTCAAATTTAAACTGTTCTCCGAATGAGTTTTATTTATACTGAAATCTCTTTCCTGCTTCAGCGTGGGACGCCATCTTGATTTGTCAAGCTCCCTTCCACTGGTTCCTGTCTGACGTCACTCACCTACATGACGTCAAAAAAAATCACAACACTACATCCAGCTGTGCGAGTCAGTGGCGCTAGCATACTGGTAGGTGCTGTTTTTAAAGACGAGATATCGGAGATAATGCTTCTCGGTAATCAAATCAAGAGTTGGTTTTAAATAATGACGTTATTGGCATTGTAGGAGTACAACCAAATGTATTTGTAACTCCCAGAATGTGAGTTATGAAAGGAAAACAGGAAGCATACACAATATACTTTATAACAGTATGCTTCTTTGGAAATATATAGAATACAAATGTTTGTGAAAGCGTTTTCATGTCAAATGAATCCAAATAACATGGTGATGAAAATTTGTATTTGCTTTCTTCACTCAAATATCTGGGACTGACAACGTTTATTAGGCTATTGTATTGCAAGTTATATTTATTGTAGTATTTGTTAGAAAAATGGAAAGGGACTGACCCATAATGATAATGATGATGATCAAGTTAAATCCAGTCAGCCCTCAAGATGTGATCATAGACTGAGTGACAGAGCAGCATCTTTTACTCATCTTTTACCCACAAAGTTATCTAATTTATCTCCTTCACATGCTGAGAATTAGTGTAGACATACTGACTAGCCCTTATAATCCCATCAGTATTAAAATAAAAAGTGGTCAAATAAATTTAAAATATAGGCCTAATTCATCACTTAGGCCTTTGTAGTTAAGTTTTTATCAGAATTAAACTGTCAAACTATCAAAATACTGATTTTTTTTGACATGATAGCAAGAATGGACCCATAATGATTAAATCAAGGATTATAAAGAAAAAGCCTAATCTATTGAGATAAGCCACCCACTGTTGTCAGAACTGTGCTGATCAACTTTTCCATCAACTCACAGCAACAATGAACACAAATACCACTGTAACACAGGCCTACATTGTTTACAATTTAATGAATTAAAAATAGGGAAGTATAGGACTTCCTAATAGTTGATGTAAAATTAGGATGATAGGCCTACATATATGCCATCTCTGAAGAAATCATAGATCCAATCTTTAAGTCAAACAGCTCATGTTTATTGTTTGTTTTAAGGGAAAAGGAAGTCCAACTTAAGTGAGAAGACACATAAAATGAAAAGTGGTATTGGGCTGTTATGTCATTTTGCCTATCAGTAAAGAAAGTGAGTACACATATTTTTAAATGTTTGTAGTAATAATTTTTAAAACATCTAAAATTGTAATATAAACACGTGTGTAAGTATTATTATTATTATCATTATTATTATTAGGGCCCAAGCACCGACCTCAGTGCGAGGACCCTGTTTATTATTATTATTATTAGTGAAACTGAAGGAGTTATTATTATTATTATTGTTATTAGAATAGGATGGAATAGAATAGAAAGAACTTTATTTATCCCCGAGGGGAAATTCAGCTGTTCAGCAGCTCATAAAAGATTAAAAAAATAAAATAAAATACGTTAAAATAAGTGCACAAATTGTTGTTGTTATTATTATTATCATTACTATTATTATTATTAGTAGTAGTAGTAGTAGTATAGGAGCATATTATAATATATCGGGTTTTTTTTACTATTATATATTTTCTAAATTTGATTTTTTTAGTTTAGTATCGAGTGCGCGCACGTCACGTCACCCTTACGTGCTTTACGTTTTGCAGACACGCGCAATGATAGCCGGAAGCACCGATGGGAGGAAAATAAAAATCGATTAAATCCACTGTAATTCGCGAGTGTAAACCACTCACTTACTGTCCTTTTCGCGACCGTGGGCTCGAATTTCTCAGCCTTTTCCACTGCCACTGTGCCGGAGGGGACGGCCGAGAGCAGGGAAGCTGCCCCATTTGAACGAAGTTGCTCGGTAGGGGTTTAGCTGACGTGTGGAGAAGTTGAGACTGCCAGAGAGCAGATAAACAAACATAAACAAGCAGGGAACAGCTGAGCGCCTGGCCGAACCGAACCAGCAGCACGGAGAGATGTCAGGGAGGGCGAGTTTCCTCTTGCCAGCCCAAGAATGATCCACAGGAGACCGTGACTTACACTGATACTAGCTCCATGTCAACTGTCAACACTGGCACACAAAGAATTTCGGAAACACAACACGAGGACCAGCCATAGGCTTTAGCAGAGAATCCACTGCTCCTGTCACTGTCTCTTTGTCAAGACATAGCCAGGCTAGCATGGACAGCCAATGAGTTTACCTGCCAGTTGTCAGCTGTAACGACACGAACACACAGTACAGTGCAAGGAGACAGAGGTAAACACTTTTTATTAACTTTGCCTTTTCTTCCCCACATAGGGCCTGCGAAGTGAAGCACTGACCCGAGCTAGCTTGGCAGGCCACATATCCTGTTTGTGTTTGAATTCTTTATGTGACGGTCAGTTTACCAGCAGGGCTGCTATCTGTTCACTGTTTCTATTGTCCTAGCGTGTTCTAGAAAGGCTAATGTCAATACAAACAAAGCTAACAGGCTGTTTGCTGCAACTGTGACCATGAAATGTTAAACATGTGGAATCTAAGTAGGATCCTGACACTATCATTAAGCCTGTCATTTTTATTTCCACTAAACAATATCCCCCTTACCTTTCACTCATCTGTGGCCACTGGTGACAGAAGTGGGATCAACATGGCCCACCAGGCGACCCCTAGTTCCCAGAAGGCCCTGATGATGGAGCTGAAGTCTCTGCAGGAGCAGCCGGTGGAGGGCTTCCGCATCACTCTGGTGGAGGAGTCTGACCTCTACAACTGGGAAGTGGCCATCTTCGGGCCCCCAAACACCCTGTATGAGGGAGGCTACTTTAAGGTGGGACAAAAATTTCTAATACCAATAATAATACCAAATAATACCAAAAGGACAGCAGACTATGAACACAGATGGGTCATAATGGTTTGGATGATGAGACACATTCTTGATGCTGATATATAATCAGTGGCAGTGTTTATATCAATGTATATAGTGCAGCTGTGCTCCTTGGCAACTTTTCTTTTTTTACGAAGGATATATAGAAGATAGCTGACAGTGACTCTGTTTGAACCAAAGTGTCACACCAAGTAAAGTCTCATTAAAGAGGCTGAGGCACTTTTAAAAACTGTAATTCAGCACTGACCTGTCTCAGATCCATCTGCCCACCTCTGCTGGTCTTTTTCAGATTTAAAGCACTCTCAGACAGCCAATTATACTTCTTTAATTTTTAGTCTGTCTCCCCTCTCCCTCCATTCTCCTTGTCCAGCCCTCTCCCCCCTCGCTGTATGATGGTTGTGCTTCAGACAGCTATTTTTAGCCGTGAGACCGATATAAATGGCACCTCAGCGCAGAGAAAGAGTAAGAGAGAAGGGCACGATGAGACTCATCTCCCTATCTTTCATGTCACTTATTCGGTGAAACTCCTGAGGAAAGCGCGGTACGGCAGTAGCCCGCTTTCATGTTGAGGCAATGCAGATGACGCTGTAATCTCCCAGGAATGCTAAAATAATACAGAGCAGGTGTTGGTGTTGCCTTTACATTGACATCCTTGTGTTGTCTACTGTCTAGTCTGGTCAAATCAATTTTATTTATGCAACCTTGAATCACGTGTTTTTTACAGTCTATACAACATATCATATTACACCCTCTTTCCTTAGCTCCTGCAGTCAGATGAGGAAAAACACACACAAAACAGGAAGAAAATAATATAATAAAATCAAATGTACCTGCAAGTCTTTAAAAGAGACATGCAACTTTTAAAAGAGAGCCTGCAGACACTTTCACCCAAGCACCTTTTTGCTTTGAGGCAAATATACTCACCCCTGAGCCCCTGTGACACCCACACAATTACATTAACAGATGTACTTCTAACACTGGCTGGTTGAGTCTAGTATGCTACAGGAAGACATGCCTTGACTTTGGTGCAGGTGTATTTGATGAAATGTTTTGTGTCCACTGCTGAACCCTGCATCGCAACTTGTCAGTGTGTCCTGGCATCTGTGTTTTTTAATATCCCAAGGCTGCACTGGTGTGGCAGTGACTAGCTGTCGCATAATGATAGTCCTATCTGAGTGGAAGCAGTTCAGTGAGAACTGGGGTGGTGTTACACACACCCAGGCCTGCACGCCTTTCACCTAGATAATTGCACAATACTTTGGAAAGAAAACACAGAACCAGAAGCACCAACTGTTGTGTCACCTAATGCCTCACTCTGTTTACATTTGTTATAAATTACTAACATAAACTGCTTCGTAGTGTGATGGTAGACATGGCTGAATGTATGATATATCTTTTGTGACTAATTTCACATGAGAGGGCACAGGAAGCTACGTTGTGGTTGAACACTTGTCATTATGCAACTTGTGAAGCTTGATGAGACAGTCAAGAGAGAACTTACTTGTAATGAAATGTTACAAACAGACTCCAATTTTGAAATCGCTTCAGTCTGGACCGATCTTATTTATCCTGTTAAAGCAGCTGCTCTTAACCTCTCTGGTTCCTGAATCATAAAATTGTTTTCCTGTTGTTTTATTTCACTCTTGTTTAAAGAAGCATAAAGGAAGAATTTAATTTATCTTGCTAGAGAAAGATCGTCTTACAAAGACTGTTCATTGGGATATATAACGCATATTTTCTCACATTGCACATATCAACATCAGCCTCCAAAACATCAGTTCACATCTGCCTGGGGTCTCCTCACCCTCGCACTGATACCCACATTCTCAAAGGACTTAAACTTAGCATAACTGAAGTCAAGCTTGGCTGCCTGTAAAACACATGACGACTGTTAACCTCCGTTTGTTCTCACAGGCTCACATCAAGTTCCCAGTGGACTATCCGTACTCTCCACCGACCTTCCGCTTCCTCACCAAGATGTGGCACCCCAACATCTACGAGGTAAAACATCAATATTTGTCACTTGAAATGTTTTTGTTGTAGCCATTATCATGCCAATTTGACATGTATACAATTACAATATTAATGATAATAATAATAATAAGAAGAAACTTTATTTATGCAGCACTTTTAAAGACAAAGTTACAAAGTGCTTTACATATTTAAAACCAAAACAAAAACCTTTTAGGACTGCAGTGACATAAAATCAGAGGATCACAACAATACAGATTTAAATTAAAATAGAAATTAAAAAATACAAAGCAAAAACATTATAAAATATAAGACAGGTTGGAAATAAAATGCAGTGTTTGCATTAATACAAAACTTTTTTTAAAAAAGATAAGCCTGAGAGTCCTCGGCTCCTCGGCTCAGAGAGGAGCAGCAGCTCTGCAATCTAACTGGGAGCCGCTGAACCGTGAAGTGCTTTAAAAGTAATCAGTAAAATCTTAAAGTCAATTCTCAAACTCACAGGTAACCAGTGAAGAGAGGCCAAAACAGAGCCGATACCATCTTGTCTTCTAGTGTTTGTTAAAAGCCAGCTGAAGGCATGAGATGGTCTTTTGGCTTAACCCTGAGCGTGGCGCCTTGCAATAATCTGACCGAGATGAAATAAAAGCACGAATGACCTTCTGGAGATCAGGTCAACAGAGAGGAGACCTGATTTCTGAGATGCTCTATGAGCTGATAAGAACATGATTAAATTGCTTTTGTAATTTGTTTTTCAAATTAAAGGTCACTGTCAAATATTAGACTGTGGTTTCTGGCTGCAGGTTTAACATTTATAGACTGGGAGACAAGTTGTTTTTGTAGAGTAGGTATTGACTTTGGAGGACTGAAGAGAATTATCTCTGTTTTGGGACATCCAGCACTTTATTTCTGACAGACAAGATAAGAGCTGATGATTGTTAAGTAGTTCAGTGGTTCTAACGGCATTTATATAGTCACACTAAAATGGAGCCATTTAGAGACACCTTAATGTCTTCATGGCAGACGTTATACAGAACATTTTGTTCTCTTTCCAGAACGGAGATGTGTGCATCTCCATCCTGCACCCTCCTGTCGATGACCCTCAGAGTGGGGAGCTGCCCTCTGAAAGGTGGAACCCCACCCAAAACGTCAGGTAATCTCAGCCGTACAGCCTCTGCTTCTCTATGCACTTTGATCCATGCTACAGCACAGACATGACGTCTTTATATAACCGTTCTCTTATTTTGGATACAATGTAGATCAGGGCTATTCAATTACATATTCAACTTGGCTGGATTTTAAATCAGAAAATGTTGATGGGCCACATTTTCAGCATGTGTGTATATATAAATATATGTATTTTTTTATATAAAGAGCTATCAATGCACAGAAGCATAATAAGTGGCATAAACAGTATCTAATAACACACTCTATCTCTCTTCTCCACACACACACACACACACACACACACACATACACACACACACACCTCACCTCGTGATGTTTTCCTTATAGGTCAGATACACTGGATATAGTTTTAGACAGTCCATGGCAGCAACAGCCATGTTTACAACAACTAAGTCACCATATAAACTCAATAATATCTCACTGGAAACAAATCTAACATGTCAATAAAATCAATATTACTCCAGAGACTGCAGACAGAGCAGATTGAAATATGTCTTTCTACATGCTGATCACATGTATTGATAAACTATTGGCTTTTTACTGGCAGAGGTTTTATTGCATTCACTCACAGTTACAAGGGTAGTTGTCTTCAACTGGAGTCATTTTGATCTTATATTCCCTTCATCTGCACCGCGGCCTCTTTGCTGTTGTCTGACTTCACTCTGTTGTGTGTGTCTGAGTGTGTGTGTTCTGTGAGGAGGAGGTCAGCCCTGACATGTAGAGAGCAGGAGAGAGGCTGCTTCATGATGATACATGAAACCAAATCTTGATTAAATTTGCCTCGGGCCGTCTAATACTGGGTCTCGGTACCAATCCCTGCCCGGCCATTCAGTGGTTGCTTCTGGGCCGCATGTGGCCCTCGGGCCGCTAACTGAATAGGCCTGCTTTACAACATTTTGGTGGCATCTCAGTACACTGAACTGACAACTCTGTTATATAATACATATACACCATGCTCAACTTCACCACACCACAGACTGTGTGAGTTGTAGCTGCTTCGGTAGTCTTTTTTTTTTGTAGACCTGGGTATGAAAAGGATTGAATGCAGGTATCATTAGACCGGAAAAGTTTCAGTACTCCTTGGTGGGTTATTTTGGCCGATACCTTAAAACTATCAAGTACCAGTACCCTAGTTTCTGGCTCAATTCCAGCCAGATACCTGTCTTGCATACAGGGTTCCTGCAGATCCTTAAAAAGTCTTAAAAGGCATTAAATTAATTCATCTTTAAATAAGGCCTTAATTGGTATTACAATGTACAAAAAAGTCATGTTTTATGTTACAGTGAACATTTGGGCAAAATTGTCCCCAGCCCTCACTACGTAGTTGGTGTCCATTCATTTATTTTTCTTCTTCAATTTGTCTTCTATCTAATAAAGGCAAAAATGCCCCCCACATAAAAAGAAAAGACAGTAAGATGGGGGTGGAGGACTTGCCATGCTCATCCACACAAAGAACAAATAAAAGAAAATGAAAAACGGGAAACATCATGTGACATTACATACAGCAGAAATCAAGAACTGTGTAAATTAACATTTCACTTTTAGCATTCCTTTGTTCTGTGTAACATCTCAAGAGCAGGACACTGCTGCAGGGTAACTCAGAATTTCTTTTAAATTTAACATGTCAGCAAGACTGGTTTTGTCCAGGAGTGGAGGTAAAGTGCTGAGTCTGTATTTGAAAACCTAAGCAGATGGGTGCAGCATGTAATTGAGCCGCAAGGGGGAAAAGAGGTGAGGTAACGCCTCTGTCTGGGTTCGGATGAAGCCAACAACAGTTTCAAAAAGCCTGTGAAGAGTTTTTCTTTCATACAGTGACAGGACCTGATATATCTAAGTGTCCTTATTTTCTGTCTGTGTGTTTTTGTGTGCTGCTCTCTCACCATCAGGACTATCCTGCTCAGTGTGATCTCTCTGCTCAATGAGCCCAACACCTTCTCCCCGGCTAATGTGGATGCGTCTGTCATGTTTCGCAAGTGGAGGGACAGCAAAGGCAAGGACAAGGAGTATGCAGAGATTATCAGGTAGTACACAGCATTTAATATTTTATTCTGATGTGCTTACAGAGAATCATGCAGTCAGTCCATTTAGAAATAACATTTACCACTGACTGATTTTACTCCTGTATGGCCCACAGGAAGCAGGTAATGTCAACAGCAGCGGAGGCTGAGCGTGATGGCGTCAAGGTGCCGACCACGTTGGCAGAGTACTGCGTCCAGACCAGGGTTCCCTCCCAGGACAGCAGTTCAGACCTTCTCTATGACGACCTCTATGATGACGACATGGAGGAGGAGGATGAGGAGGAAGACGAGAGTGAGATGGAGTCCGTAGGAGAAGCCGGGGGATTCAGCACCGCAGAGGACGGTGGGACGTCCACCAGACGTTACGACAACCAGGACGACTCTGGCAATGAAGACTCATGATGATCTGGATGATGACTCCTCCCTGCCAACCCCCCTGGCCCCCCAATACCCTCCTTATTTTACGTGTTCCGTTACGATTTTCAGTGTGTGGGTGTGCGTGTGTGTGTGTGTGTGTGTGTGTGTGTGTGTGTGTTTGCAAATACAGTGGGGTCAAAAGTCAACTGCCAAAAACGTTTCATCATTTATTAAACTGATACAAATAATTGGTCAAATAATAGTTCAATGTTATTAACATACTTTTTCCGAGAAAGGTTTGTTGATTGTTTTCACTGAAAGTCAGATTTGGTGTTTCCACCGTTTGCCTTAATTACAGCTTGCACTCTGTCTGGCATCAGATGTTTTGCAGAGAACTGAAATTATTCCAGCACTTTTTGAGAGCACCGCCAAGTGTGTTTGTTGTTACGTTTTTTCTTGGCTTTTTTTTTTGTTTGTTTGTAAATGTTGCAGTCGAGGATGCAGAAATGATGGCATGCCTCTGCAGAATAGCGTGGATTTACTCTTTGGTCAGTGTGTGATTGACCATGTGCAAGTTACTGACTCCAGATGAGGCAAAACATCCCCACACCTGCACATTTGCATCATCTTGTTTAACTCTAGTTACTGTTTTTAACTGTAGTTCATATGCCCTGTTGTATTACTCTTTCATGCAACCAACTCACACACATCTCTGTAAGTTGTTTGGTTGCAACCATGTTTCAAACTAAAGTTTCTGCAAGTCTTAAACAGTGAAATGATAGTATGCTTAAATCTAAGCTAAACCATTAGACAACTTCTGCTGTGAAAGAAGTGGCTTAGTGACTGTGATAGTTTGTTAGTCCTGTAAAGGGACAGTTGACCCCCAAATCAAATATACTTATTTTTCCTCTTAACTTTAGTGCTGTTTATCAGTCTAGATTGTTTTGGTGTGAGTTGCTAAGTGCTGGAGATCGCAGCCGTAGATATGTCTGCCTTCTCTTGAATATAATGGAACCAGATGATCCTTGGCTTGTGGTGCTCAAAGTGCCAAAAAATACATTTGAAAAATTCAACAGCAATGTCTCTTTCCAGAAATTATGACCCAGTTACGCATGACAATCCACAGACTTTGTTGTGGGTAGTTTCATTTAGGAACTATTGTTTTTTCTGCCAAACTACACCCGACAACTGTATCATTGTGTAGAAGGAAGCATGCATCTACTCATGGACATGGCTCGTGCGCAAGATGTAAACGTTACGTTAGCGAGCTCAGGTGAGCTAGCAGTAGATAGGTGCTTCCTTTTCTGCAGTGATACGGTTGGCAGGTGTAGTTCGGTTGAAAGCAAATAGTTCCTACATGAAACTGCTCATAACAAGGTCTGTGGAGTATTTTGAGTAACTGGGTCATAATTTCTAGAAAGAGACATTGCTGTCGAGTTTTTCAAATGTTTTATTGGAGCTTTGAGCACCACAAGCCGAGTGCCATCTAGTGCTTTTATATTCGGAAGAGGGCAGACATTTCTATGGCCGATATCTCCAACACTTAGCAAATCACACCAGAACAATCTAGACTGATAAATAGCACTACAGGTAAGAGGAAAATGTGTGTTTTTGATTTGGGGGTAAACTGTCTGGTAAACTTGTCAGCTGGAGCAGCTTTGTTTGTAGTGTTGGCTTTGCATCTTGGATGTAGATGCAGAAAGATGTTGGCTTTAAACCACAGTGCCATCTCTAGTTCTGTCTTGTCCTTGTTGGGATGGGAATGACTCGTTTTTGTGAAACTCTTTCCAGCCTTTCAATCAGAGTCCTTTTATCATTGTCATGCATTAACAGTAAGTTACTTAGTGCTTGAAAGACTGTGATATTTAAAATTGTGTTGGAGGATACATGTGTTAACATTTGCAAACATGGTAAGACGAGCTTTTTAGAATCTTCCTATCTCATATACCAGTCTGTCACTTACTTAAAAGCATTTCCCAAAGATAGAAATAACATGTAACCGTTCTTAATAACCTTCTGCAAAGTAAAAGAATTCTTAGTTTTTGATAAATGATGAAAACAAATTGCCGCTGTGGTGGTCTCTTGAACCCCACTGTAGCTGGCCAGCTCTTGGTCTGGCTAGTACCATGTCAAATTGTCTGGTTTTGTGTTAAAAAAGTGTCTCTATCCATTGTGTCTTTTCTTTTTGTCTGTTTTTAATGTTATTCTTTTGTTTAGTTAGCTGCCATTCTGTCCTCCCTGACTTTTCCCTTGTATTTTTTGAGAGGGCTCAGACAGTCCGGCTGATGGACACATTAACCTGGCTCATTAACCAGTCAATGAGCTGGCCAGCTCGCCCTGTCGCTGTCCCTCGGTGTGTCCCGTGGCAGAATATCTCTGTTCCTCCCACGGCTGTCTGTTCGACTTTGATGCAATCAACTTAAATTTGCAAACACAGGCTCTGTCGTGACTCCACCCTCTTGGGACCCACCTTCTGTAGTGTCCATCACGACTGCTCCCTCATGATCCCTCAAAGCAACTGTCATTTGGTTAGGGGTGGACAAGGTTCAGACCTTTTCTCACGTCACCTCCTACACCTCTCTCTGCCTCTTAAACCTCAGGGCCTCAATAGACTTTCAGAGAGAAAAACCAGTCAAAGAGAAACTAAACACACAAACTGCTCCTCACCTCCACCTCCTTTTCTTATTTTCTGCATCACTGGGTGGTTGTAGAGGGCAGAGAGTGAACTGAAAGTCTCCAAACCCACCGCCAGCGTGTTTACACGTGACTGAGTGTCGCTGTTGGTCTTGATTGGTCCTTTAAGTTGTTTTCTTCTTGGTAGGCTAGAGTCAAATTCAAAATCAAAACGCACCTGTTAGGACTTTCTCCTTGAGACAATGCTCACGTTATGTTGCACTAGATGTGAAAATGTTCCGTTTTTCGCGCTGTGACTCCAACTTCCGCTTAAATGCGACTTAGTGAAAATTGGACGTTGTTACTGTGCTACCACATCCAGAGTCTGTTTATCGACAGGGACAAAATCAACATGCAGCTTAGCCACACATTTGCATTTGAATGAATATGACACTGATTGCCTGTTATCTGTGTGTGTGTGTGTGTGTGTGTGTGTGTGTGTGTGTGTGGATATTGACATTTACTATTCATCATCTATTGACTACAGTGTCAGGGTTTAAATGTTCCTGTCTCTGTGGAACAGGTGCAGACTTCTGTCACACCAGTGAGTTTGTCCAAATGACCTTCTGGACTTTGTTCAGTGGAGAAAACATTGTGTGTTTGCACAGTGTTCTAGTGCTGTTTTGGTGAGGCCTGAACTGGCTGAGGATTTGACTGATTAAAAGTAAACACCCTCTGAGTATTAAACTTTTGGACACACTGAACAGCGTAATGTGACTGATATTACTTGTATGTCATCAAGTAAACCACATGTTTGACTTGTGTTTTTATGGTTGTGGGTATGAATCTGTTGCCCTTTTCAACACAACAGAGCACTGCGCAAACCTTTGATTCAAGTGGATGGATTTTATGCCAAGGAAACCAAGTACAGCCCACAACCGCTCATTTTAAAGACTGTGGAGCCATGGCTGCATGTGGTGGATTTAACGCTGTTTGAATAAACTCTTTAAGAGATACCTTTTGGATTTAAATGTGAAGCCAAAGGAGTGAAACATTTCCTCCTGGCCCTGTGCTTCAGGGGCTCACAGAGACTGGATTCTGTGGAGGACGGGGAGAGGAAATCCACTCCTGATCCAGATCTTTAATGGATTTGATATCAAGGCACAACAGGAAGAGGATAAATGCCAGAGAACTTTTCTTGATGTGGTCCCCATTTTTTTTGCCCATCCCTCTACCCTTTACCATATAGAGAAGTAAAATCATAGTGATGAAATGTACCAATCTCATGTGTAACTGCTAAAGGAATACTCTGACATATTGGGAAATATGCTCAATTGCTTTGTTGCTCAGAAGAGATCAACCACTCTAATGTGTTAAATATGAAACTACAGCCAGAAGCAGGTTAGCTTAGCTGTGCACAAAGATTGGAAAGTGGGGGAAACAATTAACCAAACAGAGCGAAGCTAACTGTAGCTAGCTATAGCTATTAGCTATGTCTTGTTTGTTAAATATGTACAATTCCCACAGTATTAAAATGACAATTCATCATTTTACGAAGGTTCTCTGTTCAGTGGTTTTTTGAAGTTTTGGAGTCTTCACTGGTTGCTTGGCAACTGCTTAAAGCCAAGAAACAGAGCATGACAATTTTCTGTAGGCCAAACTTAGATTTATTATAATATCTAGATATCGGATGACAAGATTGTGCTTCCTCATTTCAATGGAGTTGCTCACCTAGTGCATTCGCCAAAAAAGTCATAATAGAAAGAGCCATAATCGATCTTGTTTGCTGTTCAAGGTGTCCTGTCAACACTTTTCCAGGTGTCTCTTTTACATTGGTAGTCTATGGAGAAAATGATTTGGGGCCTACAGGGGATATTTTTGCTGCAATACCACAAGTGGCCACTGGGGAAAAGTTGGCTACAATTCCGAGCTGCTTCCCTGGGGGCCTGAGGCCAATGAGGAAGCTAACGTCACCCTTTTTCACTCGTCAAAAGCCTATGGGATTTTTCCATTGGATTTTGGATTAGCTAACTATGATACTTAAAGATTCTTAAGCATGGTAATTTTCACAAATAAACATCACTTTTGTGAGTTTTGAAGCCTAAATACAATCACCAGAAGTAAAAGGCCAATGTTAGACTATAAAGGAAGTTCACCGTGGTCGCATGACATCCCTATCACAACATGGCATGATGACGTTCTGTAGTCTCATTTGGCCACTTGTTAGCAACTCCCGTTTTTTTTAAGACACACAGAAGTTTCAAAGTGTATAATTGGGAAATTTACTGATGTATTTTATGTCGCAGACCAAAAGTGAAAACCCTATTGACTTCTAGATGAGGAAACCAGCTACTGGCTGTAGCTTCGAATTTAACAGACATGAGAATGGAGTAAATCTTGTCGCTAACGCATTGCCAGAAAGCAGTGGTGTATTCCTCAAAATGTCTAACTATTCCTTAAAATAAGAAGTTACAGTGATTAGCTGGTTAGCTTAGCTTGACACAAAAACTGGAACAGGCAAAACAGCTAGCCAGGCTCTGTCCAAAGGTAACAAACTCTGCCTAAAACACAACAAAAACAAGCTGAAAATAAAAACAAAATGTGAAAAGGACAGGTTGTGGTTTCACTGGGAGTTAAGTGCTGGAAAATGTCTTGGCCAGGAGCAGTGACTTCCTGATGTCTACCTTTGGACAGAGCCAGGCTAGTTGTTTCCATTTGTTTTCAATCGTTAAGATAAGCTAAGCTAACTGGCTGCTGGCATTAGCTTCATATTTAACAGACAACCATAAGAGTGGTGTCAGTAGTCTCCGGGAGGTAAATAAGCATATGTCCTAAAATGTCCAACAATTGCTTCAATTTAACAATTGCCACCCATCACAAATTAAGAGATCAGAATCAGCGTTATTGTTTTTGTTAGAGTAAAGTCTAGGCATAGTGTAGCCCTTAATATGATAGCGATTTAATTAATAATTTAGAGCTCTTCAATCTTAAAATCCTCTTTTTTTACTCAAATGTATGCCTTGTTTTTATAATGAGGGCAGGTGGAGAGAAGCTAAGGAGGCCGTTTGAGGGAAGAGAGCAACCAACAATTATTATCTTTGAGGGATGATGATAATTCCCAAACTCAACCTAAGAAATGACAAACTAAAAAGGACTGCAGTCTAAGATGTTGAGATGTTATTCCATACACACTGTTACAAAAGCCTGAATGAAACCATTTAGTTCATTTATTCTGGGTGTGTGAGCATGTGTGTGTGCACAAGTGAGTATTTCTTGAAGTGTGGGCCTTCACATGGTCACACACTTAATGGACTGACCTGCGTGTCCACACCTATTGATGTTAATGCTGTCCTTGCTGGTTTTTTCTTTGAT